AGTCTTGTGGAACTAACGAGACTTATTTTCAGAAATCATTTTAAACACTAACATTCCACTTTTTAAAAATGACTTGTGCAGTTCTATCTCTAAGACAGGATAAAGCTCTAGTTCTGAGTCCTTATATGTCAAGGACTATAATATAAATTCTGGCTCATCTTGGAAGAAAGGAATAAGAACATTTTTGTGGGTACTTTTAATTAAACACAATTAAACATAATAAACCACTTTACAGTTACAGGTATAACAAATTTAAATGAGAGGCACTGGGGGTTACAGGAACAAGGACAACAAGATTTGGGCACAAGTTGGTGGTGTAAAATTACTACAGTTGCTTCAAAAATCTATTTACACATTAACCCATATAATCAATTCTCAATTATGTAGGTGAGGTTATTCAAGTCCTTCATTTCTGTTTTTCTCTTCCACTTAACTGCTTGTTAACTCACTTTCTATTGAAGAAAATCAATTTAAAATTTTATGATTTACTATAAACCCTAACAAATTAAAAAATGCCCTAACCATACTCCACATGCCATCTCTCATGGAATTCACTGACACAAGCACTATCAAGGAGAGAGCAAGGTATACTAGGAATCTCTGAATCTTCAGACAAGAATCCTTAAATAAAAGTTTCCTTGTACTGACAATATAGGCCAAGAACTGTTCACCTTTCTCCAGTTTTGAAAGAGGATCAGAAATTAAAATGCTGCTGGCTTCTATGCTGATTCTGAGGAAAAAAATGTTATGCAACAAATATAACAGAGCTCAGAAGGGGGATTTTTAATTTTAGGAGTCACCTGGTTACAAAAACAAAACGAACTATGAGCGATGGAATCTACTTAATGTTCCCTCTTTCTGTTTGGACCAGAGATCTAGTCATCATTCACTAATGGATTGAACAATAAAAACAGAGTACATAATTCACTCAGATTCTTCACTGGATGTCCCAACTGACTGCATTAGAATATACAGCATCTGGAAAGTGAGTCTATAAATCCCCACTTAGGCAGTCAATAACATGTCAATTCAGACATTTTTATAAAAATATGAATTATAAATCTGTTAAAATGAGCTGCAACTATTAAAAGACACTGTGAAAAAAATTAGAACTAGACAGGTGAGGGGGTACATGGGAACTCTGTACTCTGTTCAATTTTTTAAATAAATCTAAAACTACTCGAAAATAAAGTCTATACATTTAAAAAAAAATAGAATAGAAAACAGAAATTAGAAACATAGAACAGCATAGTAAAAGTGGGAACTATAATCTCTTGTTTAATTCTATAGCCTCACCAACATGAAACTGCATCAACCAGTCCAGCATCGGGGGATCGAATCTCCTTTTGTCCTTTTTCCCCCATCCTATCCCTCTAATCTCCTTTTGAAGTCATATTCTGTGTCACTTATCAGGCAATGAAATACAGTTTTAGTACCTCTGTTATAAGGTTGTTTTATATTAACTACCCTGCAGATTGCTGTGTAACTAGTCACATAGTTACACATTGTCTCTCCAAATAAAACATGAACAACTTCAGAGCAAAAGATGGCATGCAGCACAGTGCCTTTAACATAGCAGTGATAACAACATATCTCTAGCTATTTGGGATTTATAGTTTATCAAACTCTAAGTGTTCAATATTTGCTATTTAACTGAAAGGTGATGGGCTACCAAGTATTTATGAGGCATCGAGGGGTTGGGATATGAAGGGCTTTCCTCTCTTTGTATGGTTATATAATTTGCTTTTAGTGACTGGATTGTAAGTTTTTCCTTTCAGTTTTGGGTTTTGCACTTAACATGGACACCATTTTTGCAAAATACTATAGGGAGATAGAGAGAGTATAACAATGTAAGTTAACACACAAAGAGAAGTAAGACGGGTGGGATAGGATAGTATTCCTTTTACTCTTCTCTTTCCCATTATGGTCTACATACTATTATAGAATATGGTTGTATAATATTAGTGGCTTTCTATAACTAAAAGAAGGCCTCAAATTCTTACAAAGTTTAGGAGATACCTACTTAAATATTTACCCCATCTAAAAATTCAAATCAGTGCCACAAATGACAACGACAGTGACAGATGCTGGTATCTATCAACACCAATGTTACGTTCTTGGTATCCCATTAATCCTTCTACCAATAGATTTGCTGATCAGTACAGATGGCAGTAGGGACTATGAAAGTTTTTTCTAGTGAACAATAACTCCTGTGTTCTTCTACCAAGAATTCAGAAGGCTAAAAAAAGTCATGCCAATATCGTGTCCTTCATCAATTACCACCTTAAGTTTCTGGGCATTCCATACTATGGCTTTAGGAGACTAAGTGTGATTTTTGGAGACTCATCAAGAGTTGCAGTTCTGGGAGCTCAATAATGACCTACTTATACTCTAACCCCCTGAGGCAGTTCTGGAGGTTCAAATGTCACAGGAAATTGCTTCACAAGCCAATGGCTGTCACACCTTGCTCTACAGCATACCTGACCATTAGAAGTATTAGACATACCTCCATATGTTTAGCTGTTATCATATCAAGAAACAGGCCAGCTGGGATGATAGCCAGAAACCTTTGGTTGGAAAGGTTTCAAGGTAGGCAGGCACTCACTCTGGTTTAGCACTTAATAAAGTATGTTTGGAGCAATAAAAATAATAAACCAGAAGTCATCAAAGGGTTATTAATGTTGCTGGATTTATGACATCTTTTAATAACATTATCACTATTACATTTTCTAAAACTCAAAGCAGAAGAGCCCATAGTTTTGCAGTTGGATCTGCTACTTGCATCCTCAATTTCCTTCCTTCCTGCTCTTATTTATGCTCATTCCTCAACACAGACTCTACTCTCTTCAAAGTACCTCCAAACATAAGCAAAACACAACAACCAGACACTGTCCAACTTCAGCTTAAAATACTGTATTATCTGTTTTCCTCCCAATCCCAGCTTTAGGTCATCCCAATGTCCTTTTTAACTATATTACTATGCTCCTCAAAATACTGAGTTGTTGCCTAAATTATTTTACACCTACTCTAAACACTGCAAAGACCTGAAAAACTGAGTTGTACACCTGAACTCCCCCTCTTCCAATACACAAGCCATATCCATAAGCTATCCCACCGAATCCAAGTTCCAGCCCCTCATGTTTTGAAAGCCCCTGGAGGCCACCCTAAAAAGACAGAGTCCCCAACTCTGCCCTATCAACTCCATCCATTGGATAAATATTTACTGAGTACTACACCATGTGTAAAAGGCCATGAGAGCCATGCTCTTCTTTTGGAAGAAGCTGTTCATCTCTCCTCCATGTTCATGTGCTCTCTATTCCTCATGCAGTCCTTTCACTAATTCTTGCAAACACTGTTTCTTTTCTCAGTCTAAAGCCTTCTCTCAATGCTTTAATTCTTAATAACATCTCCATATTCACCTAGCTTCCCACCTTATTATTATTTCTTAACCTGATTTGGATCTCAAACCTCTACTGAACAGTATGTTTCTAATTACGGGCTGACAGTCATTTGTAGTTCCCCACTCACATTCTCATATAGATTTAAGTGTATTACCTTTGAGCAGTAGTTCTCAAGCTTTATGTGCATCAGAATTACCTGAAAAAGTTGTAAATAGTTTGCTGGGCTAAATAAATTGCACTTCTCACAAGTTCCCAGATGACACTCATGCTGCTGATCTAGGGACCATACTTTGGAAATCACTACCTTTGAGAATCTGATGAAAGCTATGAAAAAACGCACATACGTACATATAATTTTGCATGTAATTTCAAGGGGCTCATGGACGCTCACTCATAGGTATTCTCTGCTCTATATTTTGTTCTGAGGAATGTTTAAGATACAGTGTTTCCTGACCTGACTGTAGGATGTGCTCGTTTGTGGTACAGGGAAATTCTTTCTCTGCAAACACCTCCCATGAACGAGGTGGGATGCTTGGTATTGGAAAGTCAGTTCTGTCCAATGAGCTGCCCTCTTCAGTATCATGTGGCTCGTTTACAGGCATGTGATAATTTTTCTATACTTCTAGCTTAATTCTCAGAAACAAAAGACTCGTCACTTAGTAATTCAAAAGGGTCTTTGGAATGCCTCAAAAGAAACCCTTTAGGTGAGGAAATGGTATCATAGAAAGAACATAAACATTGGATTAAGAGAGAACTAGACTGAAATCTTGATTCCGCCTTTCCTAAAGGTGTGACCACCAAGCTTCAACTTCCTCATTTATAAAACTGGTGCTCTTATAGGAAAATAATTTTTTCCCTTCCAGGCAAAGGTTATGTGAACCAACTACAGGGAATGAAAGAGGGAGTGGTTCTACTACTTAAAACCAGTGATTCTTATTTATGGTAAGGAATTTAAATGTTGGATACAGAGTAAACATTTAAATTAAGAAAACAAAAAGACTGAACTAATTTCTAAGATGCCTCAAATCTAACATTTATTTATGAATTCTAATTGGCCAGCATATCATTATTCACTTACATTTTCTATTTATGCTAAATAGGTAATTCATTCTTCAATTTAACCCAGTATAAACTCCTTAAAAAACAATGATACTTTCTTGTATTTTACCTTTCCTTTCTCTACTTCCTTCCCTCTACAGTGTCTAACATTCCAACATCCACAAGAAAATAAAATATAAATAACAATAGTAATAAATTATTCTCCTTCCCTTAAATAGGCCCATGTAAAAGATACCTTGTTAAAACAGAAAAACCTTTTTGAAGAAGTTTTCCTTTGTATTTCAACAGATAGCCAAAATCCATTAAATTCATCTTTATTCAATAAGATCTCCCAGGGCTTGGCTATTATAGATATAGCTCAATGCTGCATATTTTATTTTTTAAAGATCTATCAGATATTCTCTTCTCAATCTACAAGTCTATCAGTTTATTGCAGGAACTCTCAAATATCAGTGAATGTGCATCAATGTCTATCAATATTACCACTGAAATCCTAATTTATAAACTGTCTAAGCATCAAGCAATTTCAATTAAACATACCTCTTGTAGAAGACGTGGATCCAGGCAGTCACCATCATCGTTAAACATAGATTCCCAGCTCTCCTCAGTGGCAGTAATTCCCTCTGTGTGAGAAGTTTCATTTGCTTTTGGTTCAATGGATGTTTCCATAGATAATGATTCCCTATCAGGAAAAGATACACCAAATTCTACATTCTCTGAGTCATCTTGCTCTTTTGTTTTGAACTCTTTGGCAGTTCTTAGTTCGTGCGATGCTTCTGTTGTATCACCAGCACTACCCAGATCAATGCCCACGGCACTGTCTGAAAGTACTTTTGTCCCATTTAACATACTGAGTTCAGAGTCCAAAAAAGTGTTATAATTACTACCAGCAATCTTTTTTATAGGTAAGGAGGAAGCACAATCTGACAAGCTCTCTATCAACTTTCCTGTTGACTCTGTAAAACAAGATGAAATACTCTCAGCATAAATACCTGAGCAAGCAGTCAGGTTGCTGAAATTTTCAGTGTCATTCCCACTTCCAGCTACATGAAGAGGGATTGCATCTGCACTCATTCCTATAAACTTTGAGAAACTTCGTGTATTATTAGAGATCTCATCAGCTATTCTAACTGCAACTACATAAGAGCTATCAACAGTTACATGATCACTACAGGATGTAACTGTGGTGTCCATCATACATGCTTTATTGGTAATGTCACCTACATTCTTAAATTCATTACCTCTATGTGTTTCATGAGCAAGGACAGTTGTATCAGGAGGTTCGTGTTTTACATGTAACTCATCAGCAGTAATGTCATTCTTCTCACATTCTCTAATCATCACTGGACTAACAGTGTCATTTGTGCTCTCTGACAGAGAGATGTGACCCATAGTTTCAGGAATGGAATCTGTATCTTTTTGATCTAAGATGAAACCTGTACTATTGGCTATACCACCTACATTCTCAGCTTCAAAATCTATGCAAGTTTGATCAAAGACACCATCTGGACTTCCAGGAACAGAAGTAGTGGTGATGCCTCCGCTGCTGGGCTTCAATATTCCATCTGATGTTTGCATGCTTTGTTGCACAATTTCAGAATCAGAGCTTAGTTTTGTTGGTACAATCATATTCTCAGGTTTCATGACAGAACTAAAAACTCTAGGAAACTCATATAGTATCTCCAAAACCTTGGTATTAGTTTCAATTCTGCCTTCCAAATCTTTGTGTTCAAATGTTTCCCCATCAGGTTCATGCCTACTGAAGTCACAGAATTCCAGATTTTGGAATGGTTTGCTTGGAGCCTGAGCCTCACTGATTTCTGAACAGGCCTGTGACAGAAGTATCCTCTCATGTCCTGTCACATCTGTAGTTTCAACTTCCAAACACTCCACTTTCTTTGGTTTACAATGTCTCTGTAAAGGTGCATTAGTTATAACCCCAGCATTTGGGGCTCCCTGCTGATGTCCTTGGGATAATACTTCTTTGGATTCAGTGGTTCCTCTCTTAGAACAAACTCTATTTGTTTTTTGAAGGCATGTGTCCTTTCTTAATTTTGTTGAAGATTTTTTTCCTTCTCTACAGTTATGCTCCTTTCTATCAGGATTGATACCTAGTCTTCGAGCCTCTGGTTTGTCTCTAAAGACTTCTTTTTGGGAGAGAGAGCTTTCTTTTTGCTTTTCTTTCACCACAGAGTTAGGTGAACCACAGCTTTCTTCTTCATCACCTGTCCTAAGGAGTACTGCACCCCTTCGAGCTTTAGGTACATAAAGTGCCATGTCAGGCCTTCTGGCTCGAACTCTGCATCTCTCTGCTTCTTGCTGCATGGCATCAACACAATCTGCAAGAGAAGAATGATTTAATTATCAGACACTAATTACAATGTATTGAACCAAAGATTTTCTTTTTTCTTTTTGAGACAGAGTCTCACTCTGTCACCCAGGCTAGAGTGCAATGAAGAGATCTCAGCTCACTATAACCTCTGCCCTCCCAGGCTCAAGTGATCCTTCTACCTCTGCCTCCCGAGTAGCTGGGACCACAGACACATGCCACCGTGCCTGGCTTTGTGGTTCTGTTTGTTTGTTTTTGTATTTCTGGTAGAGATGGGGTTTCGCCATGTTGCCTAGGCTGGTCTCAAGCCCAGGCTGAGCTCAAGGCAATCCACTCACCTCAGTCTCCCAAAGTGCTGGGAGTACAGGCATGAACCATTGTGCCCAGTCTTTTTTTTTTCCTTTAATTTTTTGTTTTTGTTCAACATAAATATATATGCACATAAAGTGATTTTTGAGAGTAACTTGAATGTTGGCTAGAAAATGAAATGACTTATCAGAGAATGCTTTCTAGAAGATGTTGCTTTTGATTTAATATTTTTTAGAAAAGAGAAAGTAGTGAAAAAGGGAAAAGTATTATTCTATTAATACCATTTTAGTCAAGTGACTTGCCATGAATTTCCCTTGCTTCCAGCAGTAATAAAACAGATCTGGCTAGGATGAAGGAGGGTAGAAGACGGAGGAAACTGTGATGAGACAATTCACTCTAGCAACTTCCTGACAACCTCCACCATGGTAGCTCAATGGAATTTAACAAGAAGAAATATAACAAAAGTTAAGCCTTTATCTACTATCTACTAAATACAAGAAAATGTGCTAGGGAATTTCATATTGAATTATTCTTTTAATTTTCAAAATAATGCTATGAAGTAGGGATAAGTTTGTCCAGGACAGAGTAAGGAGGTGCAATACACAACAGAGAAACACTCACACACATGCAGATGCACCCACTGTTAACATTTCACAACATACATTTCAAAAGGAGATAATGAGAAGGTAGAGAGGAAAAAAGGCTAACACATCCTGTCCACTCTGTTCCAGACCCCTAAAATTTCACCTGGTCCAGAATACTTCCTTGGTGAAAAAGCTCTATTCTCATGGCACAGGTTATTTTCCTTTCAGCCCAAGTAATACCGTGGCCCTGATCATTAAGTATCTCCAGTGATTATCTTGTTCTTTTTCTCTCTTGATATCTTAGTTAATATCTAGCCCAACATTCTTCATGTATTTTATATATTCCATTTGAGGAAGAATATGACCTTAACATTTAGCCATGCCAGGATTTTTCAAAAAACGCCTAATTACTGATTTTTCAAAAAATGCCACACTAAGTACTGAAGTGTGTTTCATAGGAAGGGATACCAGAGACATAGCACACCTGGATTACAGTAAATAAAACAACTGACAAAATATATCATAATGAACTTCTGGATATAAAATGATGAAATGGGGATTACTTAGCAAAACTGATAAGTGGACTCACAAAAGATTAAACAACAAAAAATAATGGGTAGAAATGAATTTAGAGATTAAAGGATTATATAGCCCTTTGAAATTCAACATTTTATACAATAATTTAGATGTAAACAATAAACAGAGTGCTTATCAAATCTGCAACTGACATAAAAATGACAGAATACCAAAAATTAAAAAATTAAAATTCAGTATCATTTCTATAATCTGAAATGCTGTACTGAAAGCAATATGAAGGTATAAAACAGTAAACGCAAGGATCTCTTTTGGGTTTTTTTTTTTTTTTTTAAAAAGAATCAAACAGAAGACAGAAGACGTGACTTCTGTACAATTTGCATAAAGAAAGACCTAAAGGCTTTTATTTTGTTCACAAGGTCAATAAAAGCCCCAAAATAGTGACATGATGTTTTAAAAAGGCAACACACTCTTAGATTACAGAGTTTAGAAAATATGTCACACAGTGTAGAGCTAAAAGAACTAAAGGTATAACTCTTGCCCAAAGAGCCCAAAAAACCACAGCTAACTTTATACCTGAAAGATTGGCCGCTCTATAAAAGACACAAAATTTCTTGTTTATGTTTCTATGTTTCTCCAGAAGTCAGTACCAGAACCAAATGTTAGAAATAAAAGGAAAACAAAATTTAGTTCAATGTAGGAAAGAATTCTACTTCTAGATTTCTCCAATGTTATTATCAGAAAATGAGCTCTATCTCTAGCAGAATTTAGATAAAGGCTGGATGACTGACATATACTAGAGAAACTCTAAATTCTATGATTCTATTTCTAATCTGCAATAAACCTATCAAAGGCCTCAAATTATCTACTTTAAAATTATTATGTGCCACAGTTAATGACTTTACAAATTCAACCTTTTTCTCTTAAATAATGCTCACATACAGTCATACTACTACTTCCTGTAGCTGAAAATCAGTATAATAAATTTGTATTACTATCTATTTTCTACAAAAGCAATGATTTCAACTGTGCCATGACTAGCAGTGTGCTGGCAAATATTCAGCAATCAGCTTCCCAAGTGGCCTTCATAGTATTACTTGATGGTTTTCTTTACGTCATTGATGTCAATGATATGAGTGACTTCTTAGCTGAAGTAATCATTTTTTAATAATGGAAGAATATATACTTTTTTTTAGTTACAATATAATAGCTAAAGGCATGATACATTTTTATTAGCAGCATTCTCTCTCTCACTTTAAGTACAATCAAGAAATAATAAATAAAGTCCTATTTATGGCATTTGACAATCTCTGTAGTGTAAATATTCTTGCCATAGCTAATTTCTAGTTATCACTATGACATTACCAAACACAGAGTTGGGGGGAAAAAATGTACAAAAGCACACCATTATAAGTATTTCAACCAGAGATAGGATATACTTACATAAACAACTTCAAAAGCATAGATCGTAATAAAATGTAGTAAATAATTCGGAAGTGAGGAGTTTGGAGTATTTATTAGCTTTTAAAAATGTAATTTTAACAGTAAGCCTATGTTCTTTAGTTTTTAATAATAGCTGTGTTTAACAATCAGTTTGAAGAATTCCTAAAATTTTAACCATCAGTTCTCAGGCCAGCAGGAGACACTCTAATCCACCACTATGCCCATTCTTTCGTAACTCACAGACACAAAAAAGGAGAAGCATCCCCATTCTTGTGGACTGTCAAGATACAGTAGTCCCCACTCTTACCTGCAGGGCATATGTACCAAGATCCCCAATGGATGCCTGGACCATGGATAGTACCAAACCCCATATATATTGTCTTTTTCTACACATACATACCTATGATAAATTTCAATTTATAAATTAGGCACAGGAAAAGATTAACAATAACTAATAATAAAACAGAACAAGTATAATACGTAATATTGTTACATATAATATATAAAAGTTACATGAATGTGGTCTCTCAAAGTATATTATAGTATGCAATATTTTCACACCATGGATGACTACAGGAACTGAAACTATGGAAAGCAAAACCGTGGAAAAGAGGAGAACGCTATACTGCCAATTTAATTTAAAGCCTTGTTGCATTTTTATGAATTTCTTTTGCAACTATAGGCACAAAAGGCTTTTCACATTGGGAGTGGGGCTGCCTGCCATACAATTTTTAAAAACGTACCTGGATTAAACTTTTCCCACCCTGCTACCTGCTATTAGCACTTGATATTCTCTCTCTCTCTCTCTTTTTTTGAGATGGAGTTTCGCTCTTGTTGCCCAGGCTGGAGTGCAATGGCGCGATCTTGGCTCTCCACAACCTCTGCCTCTTGGGTTCAAGCTATTCTCCTGCCTCAGCCTCCCAAGTACCTGGGGTTACAGGTGCCCACCACCATGCCTGGCTAATTTTGTATTTTTAGTAGAGATGGGGTTTCTCTATGTTAGTCAGGCTGGTCTCAAACTCCCGACCTCAGGTGATCCGCCCGCCTCGGCCTCCCAAAGTGCTAGAATTACAGGTGTAAGCCACCGTACCGCGTCGGTATTTTCTCTCTTTTAACACAGTTTTAACTTTTTTACAATGTTCTAAGTGCTTTTTATCCATCTAATTTACTTCCTAACTAGACAGAATCCATTATTTGGGGTGCATTTTGCAGCTAATTTATCCTTGAAGGACCATCAGCATGCACTCTGTTCAAAAAAATTACACTTTCTAAAGGGGATAAAAATTCAGATTCCTTCATAATGGAGGTCAGTCAATTGCTAACGCATGACTTTAAAATATTTTAGGCCAAATCATTTTTTTATATTATACTGTTGAACACTGGGATCATACCTGAGCACCTGTCCAATTGCTTCTACAGTTTCCAAGGCTCCCTGAGAGAAAATATTGGTAACTTCCTTTAAGTACCTCTCTGATCCATCTTCATGAGAAATTGAACAAGCACAAAATAAATTGAGCTTTCATATTTTCACAACAGAACGTCAACGGTGTTTGTCCCATATTTGGTGTCTAAAACATATGGATCCCTCTTCAATCAACAACTGAGTATTGGCACTTAAGGCACTCATTGGGTAATTCAACCATGAATTGATTTAATCCAGTATTCACCAAAGACTCACATGAGACATCTGATATTTGAGAGAAACTGCCTAATGGGCATACTAACTATTCATTCTTCTAGAACAAATTTGGTATTTGTTAGTTCATCAGAATGCACCATAGCTAAACTATATATATTGTCTTAACATTTTATCTGGGAATAATTTCATACCTATAGATGTTACAAAAGTAAAAATAATACAAATAGTACCCTTACACTGTTTACCCATATTCACCAATGGTTAATATTTCACCTCATTTATCATTTGCAATCATGCATATTCCTCCTCCTCTTCCTCTCTTTACACACACACACACACACACACACACACACACAGAGATGCAGTTTTTTTCCTGAATATTTTTGAGGGCAAATTATAGACATCATGGCCCTTTGCCCTAAATACTTCAAAGCATAATACATTTCCTATAAATAGGGATATTCTCTTACACAGCCACAACACAGTTATCAATGTCAGCAT